ACTGTTGCCTGCTCAGATCGCCACCATCTCTCCTGGTATGGCCTCCTGTGAGAACACACTGAACACTCTGAGATATGCCAACAGGTGAGGACATGGCACTGTGTTGTGCGTTTATGAAAAACAACTCTCTCGTCAATGTAGCTTCTAGCTGTTTTTTCTTTTTCAACCATTTTGAAAATATTTTAAATATCACTAAAAATGTATTTTAAAAAATATATATTTTTGTATTTACCAATGATTTGATATGCTGCTGATGGGAAAAAGTCTTGTCGTAACTTGTCTCTCCTGATTGGCTGTGCTCTTCTCTTTCTCTCTTGCTGTTTTTCTCTGTTCTTTCTTGACTGTCTTCAGAGTAAAGGAGTTTGGGATTAGCCCCTCTGACATCCCCTTCTCTCAGGGGGGAGGAAGTCGCTCTGAACCGTCTCCTACCTATGAGTATGAGCACATGTCTATGCAGCTTCCCACCTTGTTCTCAGTCAGATACACTGCAGCAGTGTTGGGGGGTAACTAAAAAAAAAAAATAGTGATAAGTTATTAACTTAGTAGCATAATAGTTGCCAAACTGTTTTCAAAAATGTAGCTTTTTTCATGAACAAGCATTTTTTCCATCTCAAGTAGTGAAAAATGACAAACAAACCCCTAAATCATAATTTTTAGCTATATTGTATTGCAGTCTTATAACTAAAACTCAACACCATAAAAGAGGTTACATTGATTACTCAAATGCCTTTAATTTTATCGAATCGCTGTGTTCTGCTTAGGGATGTCAAAAGTATCACTACCTCAAAATTGGTATCAAGTATTGTCACAGTTCACTGGTATTGCTATCGACGACAACTACTATAATTTTTGCTTCATGAGAACCATAGATCAGATTGTTAATTTCAGTGACTACTTCATAAAAATGATTTACTGATTCATTTGACCCGCTCAGTAGTATCTGCATAGAATTTTACAGTTTGTTTGTATCGATATATTTAGTTAAATGCTGCTTATCCATGTGTTGCATAAATAAGAGTGATTTATTAGTTGTTTGTGAATTATTTTTTTTACAGTAAATGCTTCTCAGAAATAATACTGTTCTGATTCAAAATAATATAATCAAATAGATTTATTATAATTAAAGTTATTTAATTATAAATACAATCTTAAATGTATTACATTATGAGTGTAGCTTGTCTGGCAATTTTAAAGTAGCTTCCCCAGCACTGCTCAGTAGATAACCAACATCCCATGTTGGCTTGTAACTGATGCATGGAAAAGAAATATTCATGCACAGCAATGTGTATAACCACATTCTGATTCATTTTTAGACACATTGGCTGCACTCACGTCTCACACTAATGGTTGTGCTTGGTGTAAACATTTTTCATTTCCCCTCTGATGGTCTGCTGTCATTTAGTTTCAATAACCCTGGGAATGTCTGGCATTTCTGTGGTGCTTTTGTCCTTCCTTCTCCTTTAGAAATAACACCTATATTAATGCACAAACACTGTACATAATTCGAAAAAATGAGATGACACCATAAACAGTTGGCGTTAACTGCACAAATGGCTACAATTTGTATTGACACAATACAATAAGAAAAACAAACTGTTCCTGTTTGTAGATTTTGTCATACCATGCTTGTTTAAAGTATAAACCTTTAGACTTTTTGTACTAAATAATGTAAGGTTCTGTTTTAAATAAGGTAAGAGTATACAGTCACAGTGTGACTTCAGGTTACACTTTGTTACTTGTTCTGTGTAGTAAGTACCCAGATTATATTGAAGCTTTTCAGTCCTGTGACCTGTGCATGGGGTCATTTGATCAGCATGATTGCTCTAAAAACATCATCATAAAAGCTGTCAATCTGTGCAATTAGAGTGAAGGAGCTGACCGTGGATCCTAATGCTGTGACGGAGGGAATCCGCCCCAATGTCAACGCCATCAACCAGCTGGACATCATGGATGAGGATTGGGAGTTGGGTAACTCCCCTCAGAGAGATGACCTCAAACTGCTCTGTGAACAGAATGTATAAACACATCTTTTCCTATTACTTACTCCATGCTTGATGACATTGTTATGACAACTACTTCAATGTTGTCTTTTTATACTTTTTAGAAGTATATTTTGTGACCATCTGTCTACTTGCAAGTGTGCCTCACACGTCCTAAAAAAAAAGAAGCCAAAACATTTTGATCCCCCCCTGTCTGCAGTATAGAGCTTATGCACCAGAGAAACAACTGCGCAGCCATGTTTAGAATTCCTCTGTTTCTACTTTCTACTTCTACTTAGAAAACTTCTGTTTTTGTGGTAGCTCTCTCTATTTATATGGAATTGCTGTCCAAGAGTAATTAGCTGGTGAAGTGGATTTACTTATTGTAATGTTCGAAGCGGATGTCGTAACAAATTTTTAGTAGACCGGAGGGATTTAAAAATGAGCGGTTCATTCATAAATCCGTAAGATCTTATCTTCAAGCTGTGGAAATTCAAACCGGAAGACAGAAAGGGGGTGGGGGTAAAAGGACTATAGCTGATAAACCCTGCCCTCTTAACAAAAAAAAAATCCAATTACACCTCAAATCATTTTAATTTTATTATATATTTTGTATGTGCCTAGAAAGGCTGCATTTGTCATCAATGTATTCCTGCTTTATAAGGATAAATATTGCTAATCATTTGTAAGGATAAGACTGAAACCATAAACAGGGAAACTAGACATGCAATCGATTGGTTGCCTCAGTCTCCTTTTAGATGCTGTGGACCATACACCTTATTATAGGTGGGATAAAAGCTTGTGTTTGAATATTGACAGGAAGAGGAAGTCTCCCCTCAGCTCTTCACGTTCCATGAGGCAGTGTCTCAGCTGGTGGAGATGGAGGAGCAGGTTTTGGAGGACCACAGGGCTGTGTTTCAGGTGTTTGCTTTGTTTTCACTCTAGAGCTTTTTAGGCTATTTTATGTCAGCTTTTGGTTTTCTGTTCTCTGATAAGCTTCTGGCCCAAAACTGAAAAAGGGAATTGCTAATGATGATGTTCACTCTGTGTGTGCTAACAGGAGTCTATCAGGTGGCTTGAGGACGAGAAGGTTCTCCTGGAGATGACTGAGGAGGTGGACTATGACGTGGACACCTACTCCTCTCAGCTCGAGCAGATTCTTGACCAGAAGATTGAGATCTTCATTGAGCTCCGAGGTAATGCGTTGAATTTTTAGTGTTTCCTTTCATCAGAAGAGTTTGGTGTTTTCCTGATGGAATGGAGTATTAATGGATGTGTGTCTGTTTGTATTATCAGATAAAGTGAGGTCATTCCGTTCTACCCTCCAAGAAGAGGAACAAGCCAGCAAGCAGATTAACCCCAAGCGGCCCCGCGCGCTGTAGCCTGGAACTTGCTCGCCGAGGAACGACAAATACAAGAGTCTTGTAGGCTTCATGATAGTATTCAGAAGTATTCTGAAGAAACTCTTTCCTACTTTCACATGTGAAATAACGCATTAGGTGATTCTGTTCTCTTACAAATCAGCAGAGGATAAATAAGGGGATTTTGCTCGTCATTAAAACCCTTGATGAATGATTAAGATTCTGAGGAAAGTTTTAGAATTTTTTTTTTTTTTATTAGTATTTTATTTATTTACTTTTTCATTGTAGGTTAAGGGTACAGATTTGTATCAATTGATACTCACATTTTCTACCCTTTTTTTTTTTTTTTTTTTTTTTTTTTTTTTGTACCACTGAAATCCTTCCTTCGAAGTTGTTCTTAATAGCATGCATGAACACTCAGCAACTGATTATCACTCCGTTCCCAGCATGACTGACTTGGTTCATCTGCACTTTAAATAACCTTGTTTTTTGGGGGGGTCCGTTTACCTTACTCAGCACGGTGAAGGTTTCTGTTGATTGGCTGTTACAGCATTTTACTCCGTTTCAGCTTGCCATTTCTTGAAGGCATACTAATTGAAGTTTAAGACGTTCTCAAAGAAGCATTTAATGCACTTGGGGGGGAAATGTTGAGGTTATGTGAATGAATGTGAGAATATTCAGCAGTCATGTTTGTTTGTTGGTTTCTCAAAGACCGCTATTCCTTTTCCACATAATATTCTCTTTGCCGTCTCTCTCATCTGTTTATCTGTAGAATGCTTTTGTGCCATATCATGTTTCCTTGTGGAAAGGAAGTTAACAGTCCACCAAAACACTCATCCCTTGGTGTTTTACTTTGAAAACTTCCCAACATTCTCAAATTGCCTATTAAAATGTGTAAGTGTATTAAATTACAGCAAGATTCTCATAACAAATAGGGAATACCACTTATTCACTGCTGATGTTTTCAGTGTTGGCACCTCTCAACTCAGTGGTTGCTAAATAAAGAATTATTCAACAAAATTCAGACTTTTTATCCTGTTTCCTAACTTTCCTTTTGATTACTGTTTTTTCCTTTGTAAAAAATAGTTTTATTCAAGAGATTGTGGCGACTTTGTCCAATAAGGTTGAGAATGAAAGTGAATCAAGGCTAAATAAGTAATGTAAATATTAAGTTAATTATTAAAATTAAAAAGCATAGATAGATAGTTATTAGATACCTTTTAAGTGGATGCAGTTCCGAAGTTATTGTCCTAGGGGGCGCTGTTTTATAATTTGGTCCTGTTACAGTTACACTGAGCTAAAAGAAAAGTTTATTTTTGTAAAAAAAAAAAATTTACATAAACAAATACAGAGTACATAAAACAATAAGGGCAGTATGAAAAGCAATAACAGCCCTAGAACAAACTGTGTAAGTACCGTCACATTTTCACTATTAGTTTCTATTAGCCTTTCATTTCAAGCAATATGGTTTGTACTCATTGCTGACATCTATAAGAAACCTAACTAACACTATTTATTTCTGTACGAATTAATGGCTGTTCGTTTTTTAATTCCACATTTAAATTATGAAATTTAAAAATGAACATATCTGATTAATTTAATTTAAATTTGATATTTTTCTTTTATTTTGAAATGCCTACTTCCGGAAGGTGTTGTCGTTTCTTTATCGAAGCGTTTTTCACGCCTCTGCATCTCATCTACGCCGTTTGCGCTGCCGTCGGTTAACGACCCTTCACCAAAGCCTCTCCCCCTTCAAGCGAACGGTTGTTCGTCTTGGCATTTCCTCATCTGAGTTATTTATCATTTATTTAAGAATTCAACTTTTGGCATCACACGGGCATCTCCAGGGTAATGCTGCGAGAAGAGAAGGCATCTTCACCACGTAAACAAAGGTACTGTTGCTCACAACTTTATTAATAACGCTGCCTCTAAACATGTGCTTAATGTAATTACAATTATAAACGTATGTCACATTTCTAATATTGCCTGACACGTTTGACAGATCGCCATCAAGTTGACGACGTCACTCATACTGTTATCAAGCTGACGTCATCATCCAGTAGAAGGATTTTAATGGGCTGTTACAGATCTCATAAATACAGTCAAGTGGTGAGTACTTCATAAAACATACAAGACAGATCAATGCCACATTGCAAGGGTTTGGTTTTATTAGATCCCAATGAATCATTTCTCTTATCTTTCTGTCCTGCCCTTTTTCTTTAGTATCAGGTGTATTGGGGTGGCATGTATTGTTGAGCTCAACCGAATTTTATTAATCACACTGACTCTAAAATGGGTTTACTGTTGAATTATTTATATCACATTTATTATATTGCCTGAAATAAAAATGTATGTAAAATTTGATAGGGACTGTGATAGGGAATTTGACCGTGAAGATCATATTAAATTACACATCATTTTTTGTTGTTGTTGAGCTTAGTATTTTAAGAGGCCTCACTTAAAGTATAAAAGCATGGTAGGACATCTGCTATAATGAAATCTGAATTGTGCATGTATATATATATACACACAGTCATGTGTAAAAGAAAGTACAACCTTTTGAATTCTATGGTTTTCAAATCAGGACATAACAAAAATCATCTAGTCCTTGGAAGGTCTTAAAGTTAGGTAAATACCACCTCAGATGAACAACAACACATAACATATTACACTGTGTCATTATTTATTCAACAAAAATTAGGCCAAAATGGAGAAGCCATGTGTGAAAACCTAAGTACACCCTTCCATAGGAATTAAGAGGGTAAGTTGCAGTCAGGCGCTGCTAATCAAATGCCTTTGATTAACTGATCATCAGCAAGCGTGACCAACTATATAAAAGCTGTAGTTTTTGGCAGTTTGCTGGTCTGGTGCATTCAAGACAACAGCAATGATCTTAGAGAAGCCATTGTTGCTGCCCATCAATCTGGGAAGGGTTATAGGGCCATTTCTAAACCATTTGAAGTCCATCATTCTACAGTGAGGATTATTCACAAGTGGAAAACTTGGAAAATCTTCCCAGGAGTGGGCTTTCCTGCAAATTCACCTCAAGGTCAGACCGTGCAATGTTCAGAGAAATCGCAAAACACCCAAGAGCTACATCTCAAACTCTACAGGCCTCGATTAACATGTTAAATGTTAAAGTTCATGACAGTACAATTAGAAATAGACTGGACAAGTTTGGCATGTTTGAAAGGGTTGCCAGGAGAACGCCTCCAGTGTCCTTTGGATAGACAAGACCAAAGTGGAGATGTTTGGCCAAAATGCACAGCGCCATATTTGGCGAAAACTAAACACAGCATATCAGCGCAAACACCTCACCAACTGTCAAGCACTGTAGTGGAAGGGTGATGATTTGGGGTTGTTTTGCAGCCACAGGGCCTGCTGGGCACCTTGCAGTCATTGAGTCGACCATGAACTCCTCTGTACCAAAGTATTCTAGAATCAATTGTGAGGCCATCTGTCCGACAGCTAAAGCTTGGCTGAAATTGGGTCATGCAACAGGACAATGAATCCCAAACACCAGCAAATCTACAACAGAATGGCTGAAAAAGAAAAGAATCAAGATGTTGCAATGGACCAGTCAAAGTCCAGACCTCAACCAGATGTAAAGCTGTGGCGGGAACCTTGAGAGAATTGTGTATAAACAAATGCCAGCACACCTCAATGAACTGAAGCAACATTGTGAAGAAGAGTGGGCCAAAATTCATCTACAATGATCTGAGAGACTGATAAAAAATACATATATTTATATAGCTCTTTTAAGAACCTAAGGACACTTTACATAATGTTGATGAATACAAATATACAATCAGAAAACAACAATATGAACAGGCAGACAGACAGTGATCTGAATGCCCTACCACCAACAGTAGATAGTTTGAACTTAGGTACTGCAAGCAAGTTCTCAGAACTCGATCTCAGAGTACGGGCAGGGACATGAGGGTGTATTCATTCTGAAAGTTAAGAAGGTGCTAAACCACGACAAGCCTTGACAACTAGGTCAAGTATTTTAAACTGAAAGCGAAAGATAACGGAGAGCCAATGCAATTGCTGTAGAATGGAAGTGATGTGAGCTGTTTTTTTGTTAAATGTAAGAGCACGAGCAGCTGAGTTTTGAATTAGTTGCAAACTTTAGTGGGTAGGCCGTAAAACAAAGAGTTGCAATAGTCCAGACGTGAGGTTATAAAAGCATGGACAACAGTTTCAACATCTTTGAGGTTTAACGAAGGTCGTATACGGGCAATATGAAGATGGAAAAAAGCAAGACTTAACAAGCTGATTGATATGGGGTTTAAAGCATCATTTAGAATCAAATTGTACCCCCGTATTGCTTCTAGTAGGTGAAGGATAAACTATAACACCTTCAATTTGAATTGAGAAGTCATGTTGGGAGGAGACAAGGGATTTAGGGCCGACTAAAAGGATGTTTTTTTTTCTCTTTTTTTTCAGTATTCAGTTTTAAGAAGTTTTGTAATTGTAATTAGATGTAATTGAAGGGGGAGGAAAAACAGAATTAGACTAGATAGATTTGTGTATCATCAGCATAACTGTGGAACTTAAGACCATGATGCCAGATGATCTGACCCAGAGGAAGCATGTAGATTAAAAATAGAAGTGGACCAAGAACAGATCCTTGAGGCACTCCACGGGAAACTGTGACAGAACGAGATTTGTGTTTATTAATGCTAATGAATTGTTGCATGTCAGAGATATGAGCTTAGCCACTGAAGGACAGTTCCAGTAATACCGATAGCATTTAGATGACAGGAGTACAGAATAGCAAACCATATCAAAAGCTGCACTCAGGTCTAAGAGGACCAGAAGGCGGAGGACACCAGTATCAGAGGCGAGGAGGAGGTCCTTCACTACTCTCTGTACTGTGGAGAGGACGAAAGCCAGACTGAATTGGTTCATGCAGATTGTTTTTGTCCAAATGGATATTCTCTGTTGTCCCTGAGTAATACATTTAACTATAGATTTTTTCAGATCTTAGTGCAACTTGTTCTTTGTATGGAAATCATTTACTAAATGGCAGTTACCTATTACTCCACCCCACAAAAACATTTAGTTAAATATCAATTCCTGTTTTCCAGTGGTGTCAGAGTTGTTCCATATTAATTTCTGCATGCTAATGGTTGTGTTCCCATAGATCTAATCCCATAAACTCATTGTGGATTAGGCACTCACCACATCCACATAGATCCTCAGAGAAGCATGAGCTCACACAAGAGACCTGTCCGGGCTCAGCCCGATTCTGAAACCAGTTCCTCTGTGGCCCGTGACCTGACCGTGGCAACTGGAGAAGAGTGCTCCGGCCTCCTGACCAAGCTGATGGAGCTTCCCGTATCCCGTCTGTCCCGGCAGCAGCTGAAACGGCTGGAGGATCATCAGTACAGCAGTGCGGGACGGTCCGTCATGGAGTCCTTCATGCAGGGATACTGGTGCTGGCTGGTGAGCAAAGTGCCTCTCTGGATGGCTCCGAACCTCATCACTATAGTGGGACTTGCTACCAATATTATCACCACTCTGATACTGGTATACTACTGCCCTACTGCCACCGAACAGGTATGCTTATGCTTTATTTAAATTATCACTGTTTCAGTATATTGCATTATTGGTTAGATGAATCAACTACAAATCACCTCCTAATTAATTTTATTTTCACCTACTAACAGCGGTAAAATGCAGACTATCATCATAGTTAAGTTTAAAGGAGTTTAGCAGAATTTTTAGCAGTTATTTGAATTATTATTAATTATTTAGCAGCATTTGCAGTGGTCACCATTAGGTCTTAGTCATTTTTGTTGATTTTAATATCAGTTATGAATATTTAGTAGGTGTTACAGTAGTCACCAGTAGCATTTGGTCTTTTGCTAGTTTTAATATCAGTTTTAGTCTAATTCTAAATATTTAGTAGTGATTGCAGTGGTCATTATCAGGACATTGTCTTTTTGTTCATTTTAAAATTGATTTGAATCTAATTATGAATATTTAGTAGCTGTTGCAGTGGTAACCATTTGGTGTTGTTGTTCAGTTCAGCCTACTTATGAATATTTAGTAGCTTTTATTGTAGAATGTGGACTTTTTCAATAGATTTCAACCGGTTTTATTTTAATTATGCATATTTAACAACCCGCTATTGCATTAGGAAATGTTTTTTGTAATATAGTTTTCAGTCTAATAATTATGAATATTAAATAGTTATTGCAGTGGTCATCATCACGACATTGTCTTTTTGTTGATTTTAATATCAGTTCAGTCCACTTATGAATATTTAGAAGCTATTTTTGTAGTCACCATGAGAATATGGTCTTTTTAGTTTGTTTAGATTGTTTAGTGGCTATTACAGTGGTTACCATTAGGACAAGACCTTTTTGATGATTTATAATCAGTTTTATTTAATTATGAATATTTAACTTCTGTTACAGTGGTCACCATTAGAACACTGTCTCTCTCTTTTTTTGTCCTTTTATGTCAGTTTTAGTTTTAGTTTCATTATCATTTTTAAATTGATTTAGGGGTCACAATTAGGACGTGACCTTTTTGTCAATTTTTATATCAGTTTAATTCCACTAATGAATATTTAATAGCCTAGCTATTGAAATAGTCACTAGTAGGATGTGGTCTTTTAATATCAGTTCTAATGTAATTATGAATATGCGATTGCAATAAAGTCTTGGTTTTACATCTTACCCTGCCTCACATGTAGTCTATGAAGGCCATAATTGATTATATTCTGAGCTCTACTGAGGAGATAATTGCTGTGGTCTGTTAAACAGCGTGATGAGATACGGTGTATTGTCAGACAGCTTGTTCTGTCGGCTGTAACAGTCTCTGTTTATCAGATATAACGGTCTTATGAGTCCTGCTGCTATGAAAAACAACCACATTGCTAAAGTCTGCAATACGACACTCTCTCTCTCCAGTACCATTCGTATTTATTAGGGATAAAAGAACAACTTTAATGTCCACCACCTTTGTGGCTGTTAGTATGAAGTTGAATGTTGGTCATTGGCTCACAAAATCTGTGAAAAGCATCCAAGTCGACAGAAATTTAAGCCCGTTTTATTTAAATTAGTCTGTCTTTTTCAGGCACCAACGTGGGCATACTTAGCCTGTGCTTTGGGTCTGTTCATCTACCAATCACTGGATGCCATAGATGGGAAGCAGGCACGACGGACCAATAGCAGCACGCCACTCGGCGAGCTGTTTGACCACGGCTGTGACTCCCTTTCTACAGGTCGGCTCACGTTTGTGTATGCAAATACAGTCGGCTACTATTATAATATATTTCTTGGCATTACTAAAATAACATCTAGACTATTTATATATATATATATATATATATATATAGTGGAAAAATGACTTTGCTAATTCTTTTCCATCAGACATTTCTATTAGATCCAGTTACATTCACATTTATTTGAATCGCGCTTTCACATAACATTACATATCGTTTCAAAGCAGCTTTACAGAAAATGCATGTTTCTACATTACAAATAAGAGTAATCTGTTATCAGAGGTGACTGTTTCAATGTAATCTCCAGAAAGGTACACTTCTTAGATAATACAAATCATGGGGTTAGCTATGCTGGTTAGCTAAACAATGAGTATGTTAAGGCAATGATTGCATGGATCTTATGTACACTGCTTTGTTTTCCATCTCTTATACAATGTTAAAGTACGTTTTTGGTCATATTTTTGGCAAGATTTCTGTGCATCCCTCGATAGATGGCCATATGTACATGCGAATGTCTTACTGACGCCTGTATTGTTGTTTCCTGTCTTTCTCTGATGCAGTGTTTGTGATCCTGGGCACATGTATAGCAGTTCAGATGGGTACTCACCCTGACTGGATGTTTTTCTGTTGTTTTGTGGGCATGTTCATGTTTTATTGTGCCCACTGGCAGACGTATGTTTCTGGAACACTGCGCTTTGGCATGTGAGTGAAAACTCACCTTTTAATCACAATTCATGGCTCCTGTCCTTTACTTTCAGTACACAAAGATTTAGATTAGGGAACACTATTCACTGTTACCTAGTTGCTTATAAGCATGCATTATACTAGCATATTGGCTGTTTATTTGTACTTGTAAAGCACATAATAATGCCTTATTCTGCACGACCATGTTCTACATCCCTTAATGCTGCCCCATACCTAAACATAACCACTACAACAACAACTTACTATCAATAAGCAGTAATTAGGAGTTTATTGAGGGGAAAACTCCTAGTTATTAGTGAATATGTGTTCCCTAATCGAAAGTGTTACCCAAATATTATATTTGAACGGTCTGGTCTACTCATGGGAAACCGCCAGTTTTCAGACAGCTGTTGTACTATTGATAAAGCACTACATATAGAAAGAATGAGATTAATACATAACTAACTTCATTTCTTCTTTTAATCTCTCTTTGCTCTCTGCTTGTGCAGAATTGATGTGACTGAAGTACAAATCTTCATTATAACCATGTACTTACTGGCTGCCATTGGAGGAACAGCTTTTTGGGAGTCTGTGGTAATTTAAATCAATCTTAATTCTTTCACATTTTTGTCAGTTGATTAAAGCATATGCTCAAGGACAAATGTGCTTAATCTATATATCATGATCAGGAAATCTCTAGCATGCTGCATGTGTTGAGGGAAATGCAGAATCCCTTACATTTTAAACATTTATGGCCCGGTCACACCAAGAACGATAACTATATTGTCCACACCAGCGGATGATATCATTCTGTTTATTAGCACATGCTGCAGTATATGCTGCTATAATGAAACAGGACATCAGGGATTTGTTTTTAATCTTTCAGATCCCTGTGATGAATATCCAGGCTAAAATAATACCAGCCATTTTCACTCTTCTGGGTGCCGTTTTCTCCTGCACAAACTACTTCCGGGTCATTTTCACAGGTGGAATGGGCAAAAATGGATCAACTATTGCGGTAAGTTAAAGCTAAGGTGTGTGAAAAAAAATGCAAAAAGATTAAAAATAAAAATGGCAATGTCTTTTAATAATTTTCTGTTATTTAATTTAATTTTATTTCTGTTTAATTCCACAAGTAACCTGTTTTTTAAATTGAATTAACATTTGATAAATATATATTTTTTAAATAGTATGTGTCAGGCATTTGCATTGTTTATTATAAATACATATGTTATGAGTTAAAAAAAAAAAAGCTTGTTACTATATGAAGTCTAAATTAGTGGCACAACCTTTTTTATTTTATTTTTATTAGGGAACAAGCGTTTTGTCTCCATCCTTCCATATAGGAGTGGTCATCACACTTGCTCTAATGATCTATAAGAAGTCATCGGTGCAGCTCTTTGAGAGACATCCCTGTCTATACATCTTAGCTTTTGGGTTTGTCTCGGCCAAAATCACCAACAGACTGGTGGTAAGTTTATGGCATCAGTATACTGTATTTATTTCAGCTTCACTAAATAAGTACTATAATAAATTGCTCCTAAGACATGAATACTACTGGCAGATTATTGATATACCTCTACCCAGGGCTCGACATTAACACCCGCCAAATGCTGGTTTATTTCAGCAGTGGCGTGTAACGCAGTCACTCCAACTAGCCCCTTTGACGGGTTGAATTTGATATATAATATAGAGATGTTTTAATTGTAGTCTTTTAAAAAGGCATCTGAAACAATAAGTGCAATGTTTTCTTGTCTGAAGTATAAAATCATTGGTTACCCGTAAGCCAATCACATAACGCAATCACCTCTCTCTCCAACTTAAACATCACCTCCATTCAAAATGTTTAACAAACACTCTTCTTGTTCAGGCTTCAGTTTGCAAATGCCGGAAATATTCTCCACAACAGAGCGAATTTCATCCCGTATCTCCATATCCGCGGTCGTTTTCGATTTCCCTAACCTAAAATACAATCTTAAACTCGGCGCTTAGTGTCTACGTCACAGCTCTCAGCCCGCCCTCTGTTCGTTGATTGGCCGGCTGTTTTCAGGCCGGAGGAAAACTGAGAGATAGGTCGCTATCGCAGACTGAGTACAGAAGCGAACTGAAATTGAGCGGAAGTATGAAGTCTGACGTAGTCAGGCTAATGGATCTGTGCGTCAGGTCTTAAACTGACAGCAGCATAATATCCCTGCTGCCAAATTTTGAGATAATATTAAAAATGCCTATTTTCCTCCATGGTATTTATGTTAAAATTGTGGCTAGTGACTTTGGAAAACCACTAGCCACACTGGCTGGTGAGCAAAAAAGTTAATGTCAGGCCCTGCCTCTACCTGAACTTTTGGTCTTAGCTTGCTTTTTATAACTGGTAGGAAGAATTATGCCTTGAGCTGCACGCAAGCATAACATTGCAGTTAGTAAGATTTTCTGCACATTTTAGCATAAATAATTGACATTGTTGTCTGTAGTTCATATCTTTTAAATATCTGTCAGCATTAGTATCAGTTAATCTAAATGTCACTAAAATCACATCTGGTTTGTTTTCCAGGTTGCTCATATGACAAAAAGTGAAATGCCGCGTAATGACCTGGCCTTCACCGGACCAGCGCTGCTGTTTCTGAATCAGTACTTCAACAGTTTCATTAATGAGTACTGTCTTCTGTGGGTCGCTCTGGTACGTTCAGGATCTGTCCGAAAACATTGATTCTCCTTGCTCTTTTGAAATAAAGAGCTCAGTGTAGTATGCAGACATGCTTTAATTTTCACATCGCAAAGCTACTTCCACGGTCTACTGAAACTAAGTTGAAAAAAAGGTCATTCAGATACCGTCAACTAAAATCACATAAAAAACAAACAAACATGATACTAAAATTGACACTATTTACTTTCTTAATAAATGTCTCCCGGATGACATAATTAAATAACTACACAAAATATTGATTTGAGTTTACATATTTTATTAGCTCACCAAATGCAAAACTTCCACCTCTCATTGAACATCTTGTTTCACTTAGAAATATGTCTGAATACAGAAGCAAAATTGATTGTGAATGAGGTTTGTCTACTTCGACCCGCCCTCAAACACTGTAGTTGTAGCTGAGCCTGGTAGATCGTGGCTCTGATCATGATCTTCACCTTTTATTTAACCTCAAAAAGCATACCTCTTAAAAAGCTCAAACGGTTTGCTGCTTTAAAATTTTTCATCTTGCAGTATCAAAAATGCATTTGCCATGCTTGAACGTTTTCCTTTTTGCTCGTAGGTGCTGTCAGCGTTTGATCTGGTGCGGTACTGCGTGAGTGTGTGTAACCAGATCGCCACACACTTAAACATCCGTGTCTTCAGCATCCAGCCTCCATCTCCATCCAGAGTTCAGGCAGACAGCAAAAATCACCACTAACCCCTGCTCCTCAAACACCTCCAGTAGGTCACGCACTTCAGTGAATGTAAAACACAACTCACAGAGACCGAGCCCAAATGGCTGCATTTACAAACTTTGTTCTCGTAATGAAGAGAGGATATTTGAAGGCTGAAAGGGAATGTTAAAAAGAATAGGCATCCAACGGTTATAACACCATTCAGTTGCCAGTATTGCAATGTTAGATGACCAGTTTTGTTTTGCCAGTTTGTTTGTAAGTCGAAGAATAGAAGATCTGCCACAGAGGCCACAACTACGAATGTCCAAAGTTGTTATATTTTTCAGTTTTAATGTTTGTTTTGTGTTTTTTTTTTTTTTTTTTTTTGGCCAGCAGTGTATAATTTAATCCGTTTACGACCAACGATACATCTGAATGTAATTATGTAATAATTACAGAATGCCATAGGTATTAATTGTGAACTTTGCGGCCATTTACTTACAAACTTACACACCAGTACACATCACTGTTGCCAATACAAAGCTGTGCTGTTGTCTGAGAGGAGCAGAGAGCTTTTAGAGAGGTAAGAGATAACATTGACATGAAAAACAAGCCACAGGTGTTTCCATCAATATTGCAGAAACATCAAGAATTTCACATAATGCTAATTCAGCCTCTCTGATGTCATTCGGTTAACTAATTTATACGTTATGTATAGATACAGTTTTTCTTTCTATGCATATGTTTCTTTGTGTGTGTTGTGTTTTGGAGGGAACTATTATTATTACTTAGGTATGCCCATGTCACTAAATAATAAAAACTGTATTAGAAACAGTTTTTTGATAGTGCCATATTTTCCTAATAATAACTGGGGCCAAGGAAGACGTCTAGAATGGTTATGAGTTACACTGTACATATGTGAACCTTTAATAATAGATTATTAAAACCTAAAAATCGTGTTTGTGGACTAAATACTTTAGTTAATGTGATAACCTGTGCTAAATTATTTTTGTGCCTTTTATTTGTCACTGTCGTTATACTCCTATGCACAGTAAAAGTTGGACTCAGCGATTTTGATATTTTTTTAGCCTCTCGTGTAAATCGTATTTTGTTTGCAAGTAAATTATGTTCACAGCATCAAACTCGACAAAGATGCAATTTCATATACCTGCTTGTTTCATTGAGTTCGTATAGCTAAATCAGTCATTATATATATTATTTTTTCTACCTTCATGCTAATTTGTTTCAGAGGAAACTGGATTTTTGCAAAACAATAGACATAAACCCTGCAGTTCTGTATCGGGTGCTTCCCAGGGTAGAATATGAACAGAGTGGCCAAGCTCAATGTAAATTTCTCAAAACGCGTTATTGTTTTGCATCTACCTCTGAGCAGTTGCTTGTACATGTTATTTTAGTCTATGGGTGCGAGTCTTTGATTGGAAATGTTTTAATCCTGTTGTGAATCTTATGTCAGTGGGTTTCTGTGTATTTGTGCTTCTCCCTTTTTTTTAAGCATCATCCGTTCACCGGGGACACGCTGAGGTCAACCAAAGTTGCAAGACACACATAGTTGAAGAAAATGATGTCTGTCGCTGCAACTGCATTTGCATATTTGTATTAATTTGTACTTTGACCAGGATTTTGTTGTTTTGTTGATTTACGGCAAATACCTTTCTTTTTAATAGATTAATGGTCATGAAATAAAGATTGTTATATTTATGTTAGCAGATTTCTTGATCACTGCCTCAGTTTGTTTTAGTATAATTCTTATACTAGCAAAAACATTCCATGGTTTTTGTACCATAGTAGTACTGTGGTATTCTTTGAAGTACCTTGGAGTGCAATGCAAATGTGTTTTGGTTTTTTTGAGCATCATAGTGTAAAAATAAATGGTAAAACATTAAAATCATGTAAATATAAAAGCAGAAGTATGTATTCGGTGAGGGCTGTAGTGATATGGCAAGTAGGCTACTGTATTTTTAACATGGGAAGATATTTAAATATGCGTAGTGCAGATTTAAGGCTCGTTCACGCCAAGGACGATAACTAAGCGTAACCACAAAGACAGTTTTAAAAGTCGTTCTAAATAGAAAAGAATAGCAGAGTTCGCACCACAACTACAATAGCAGCACAGAGAAACGGTATGGCTGGAATCACTTTCAGAACATTTTTTTTTCCAATTGAGTGATGAACGCTAAAAACAAATCAGAATCCATCCCGCTTTAAGAGCGCGAGCATTTAAAGAGGCAGACGACATATCTGCAGCGCGCGCTACGATGCTGTCTGCTGGTGTGAACGCTAATATAGTCCTCGTTATAGCCATCTTTATAGTTGTCGTTCTTTGTGTGAATGGGCCTTTATTCTAAATAACCAGTTCATATTCTCTTTATTAAGTCATGCATGTATTTGGAATTTCATAACCACTTTGGTATTTTATTAAACTCTGTATTACTCTGCTTTTTGTAAATGAACAGTGTTTCAAGAAATTACAGTATTTCACAAATGAATCATCTGCACTGTGGAGCAGTTACTGCCCCAAACACTAACCAACCTATAGTGTTTTGTGAGGCCTTTCTGACCACAGTGGCTCTTTCCAAGTGGAAGACTTTTTAATCCAAAATAAAATCCCTGCACTTATTCTACAATAGGCCTACTATAAAACTGTTGATATAATCGCCTTCAACAAACCTGAAACATTTCACAATATTACTTTTTTTTACTGTATGTTTCATCAAATAGATTGAGCATAAGAGACTTCTTTCACAAACATTACATTTTTTTTTAATTATTCCAAACTTTAGGCCGTCAGTGTAGCATATGTGAGCTATATCCAGTGTGGTTAACACACCGGCCTTCAGAGGTGACCGTGTGCAGAGGATACAGTGAGTGTGTGTGAGTGTTCATTTCTCTTGAGTGCAGAAAGTGAAATCACGCTGACGTAGTCAGCTGACTTTGGTCACAGGACTTTAGGGAGAGCATCTCACAAAAACACACCCGACCAGTGTAAGACTTCAGATTCCACGGGCACTAACCCCCTCTGAACTACTAACATGTTTCTTCTCTATGTTTCTGTGTTTGTGGACAATAACTTCTGTGTAACTAATTCAGCTTCATCAGATGATGTTCATCTCCTTTTCGTTTGGACCTGTCGTCCCCTGATTTCTGTGTTTGCATGAGGAAATAAGTGCGTTGGTTTTGTTCAGTTTTGATGTGTATCCTGTCCTCAATGTGTGTGTAACTTTCTCTGTTTATCTGTTGGGTTGATTTGACCTTTAAGCTCCATGTTTCATGTGTTAGTGATTCTTCTTCATGTTGGTGACCTCAGTAAGTGAATTTCCTCTGACCGGCCCTATGTGAGGGCAGTATGTGGTGGTTTCAGCGGGGGCTTTGTGCTCTACCGGTGGCTCTGGTGACCTGGTCATCTGCTACGTTCCTCATCTCTTATGCCACAGCGGTCGTGTTGGGCCATGCTGACCTGCTCTTTCCATACATAAGGTAAGATCCTGAAAGATTACTGCTTTTTCAGTTTTCAGTACCAGATGTCTATGAGCAGTCATGCATCATTTTAAGGGATAGTTCACTAAAAAAAAAAGAAAATTCTGTAATCATTTACTTTCTTATGCTGAACACAAAAGAATATATTTTGAAGAATGTCAGTTACCAAACGGTCAATGGTATTGACTTCCATAGTATGGGGAAAAAATAGCTATGGCTACCGTAAACTGTCTGGTTGCCAACATTCTTCAAAATATCTTCTTTTGTGTTCAGCAGAAGAAAGAAATTCATACAGGTTTGGAACAACTGGAGGGTCAGTAAATGATTGACAAAATTTTTAATTATTGGGTGAACTATCCCTTTAAGATTTAAAAATGGTCAGTGAGAAACATTTTATGGAGAGCAACCTTATTGAATGAATTAGGGTTGTCAAGTATCTGTACTTCAGTACCAAGTCTATACGAAAATGTTACAATTACAGCCTTTTAATGTATTATTTATTAATTTAATTTAGTTAATAGGCCTATACATTATTTTCAAGTTGTTAAATGTTTTTTAAAAAATTATTAAAACAAAACAGTTACAGTTTGTTTTGCTATAAAAAACAATAAAAACATTGGTTACAATGTTTTAACTATATTTTTTTAACCCAAGTGTGGGTTTTTCCTTATTTGCAACCTAGCATTTTTTTAAAGAAAAATTAGTACGAAAAAAAATCCCCATGAAATTTGGCTGGTATTAGTAGCCTACTTACTACTGAAATTTTGGTAACGTGACAATCCTAGAATGAATACCTGGGATGGATGTATGGGGTGAAAAATCTTGCATTTTGTGTGTATTCACTATATTATAGTATTCACTTTTAAGAGTTTGATGGCTGTAGATCAGAAACATTCTGTGAAACACCACCTCTTTCTTCCAGATTTTGTTGACTGATTCAAAATCTGTTTTTATTTCCATCTGTCATACTTTGCATTTCTCATTTTGCTTGTAGTGACACGGGCACTGAGGTTCCTGAACGCTGTGTGTTTGGCTTCATGCTGTCAATCTCAGCTTTCCTAGGTAATGCGGCGCATCTTTTCCACTAGAGTTCTGAATTTTTGCTTCAAATTGCTACCAAAGGGTTTTAGTTCAATAATAAGTTAACTTGTTTTTTTTGTTGTTTTTTTTACATTTTGAAATAACTTTTAATAGTGTTCCTATAGTTGAAGTGTTGATGTTTGCAGCGCAATATGCGACCAGAAGGGTAAAAATGATGGTTAGTTTTGTCAGTTACTGGTTAGATTAGCATTCTGCCTGCTTTTAATCAGACACAGAGATAAAGTAGTGCGTAAGATTACATTTATTTGAATGAATGAATTATATTTATTTGAAATCATTATCGAGAGAGATGAGAGATTAGTGTGTGAATTACCTGCGTCTTTTCAGTCTCTCTCTCTTAACATCGCAGCTGTGAGAGTTTAATTACTTTGAAATGTTGCCTCAAGCATCTTTGACATATGAACAGCTCAATTATAACTTAATGGAGTCGGATAAAAATGAACTACAATTTATTAAGGCAGATGTATTCATTGCAGCCATGCTTTGTAAATTAAAAATCTCAACAAAATGATTACAAAATTAAATGTTTTGTTTAAAAATGGAGACAAAATGAAACTTTTTTTTTTGCAACCAAATCAGGCCAAAAGCAACACACATAAAACATATGTAACTTCTAAAGGGGAGATAACTTGAGAATTATGTATGTTTGATTCATTTTTTGTCAAAAACTAAAACCAAAGATTTAAAAAAAAAAAATGTCAGCGCGGATATTTTGGGAGGATGTAGAGGACTACATAATTCCCGCTCTCCCATTTGTGTGTTTGCAGGGTTGGGCACCATGTATGTACGATATAAACAAGTTGAGGCTTTAATTTCGGCCTCTGAGTCGGGCTTACAGCTGCTGAACTACACAGGCCTCCTGATGGGCATCTTCAGCACTGTAGGGATGTGTGTTGTGGCCAACTTCCAGGTGAAACACACACTTTTGATTCTATGGTCAATCCGTTTAATATTTTTTTCTCTGAAACTGTGAGATGTTATGTTTTTGTTTTTTATTCTTTCAGAAAACAGATATGATATCCATCCACCTTTTTGGGGCGGGGTTGACCTTCGGCCCTGGGACATCGTATATCCTGATTCAGACCGGCATGTCATACCGCATGCAGCCGCGTTTCCATGGCAGAGGAATTCTATGGGCGCGTATGGCTGTGGGAATGTGGACGCTCATTAGCATAATTACACGTATCCTTTTCCTCAATATATGATTGTCTATATTTATTATTAGCCAGTTGTGCCAGTAGTTATACACCTGTTCTGCTTCTTTGACTAAATCTGTCAGTTTTCATATCCTTTGTGCTAATGTATGATGACCTGCCTGGTGTGGATGTCCCTAATAAGTTACACTGGGAGAGAGTAAGACAGATGATGTGCTTTACTTTTAATATTTCAAATATACTACCCCATCACAATAAAACACGTGTTGCATGATGATGCTCCAGAGCGGTGTCTTCGAAAGCCTGGTGAGAAATATAATAATAAATGCATCTCTAGCACAGTGAAGGATAGAGGAAGAGGAGCCTTTTTAGCTGCTGGTATTGGTGAGCAACTTCACTGTGAAAATTCATTTAATGCTTTGTTTGGAGTACAGGAGAATATTGGAGAATGGCTTGCTTCCCAGAAATGAAAAGTTATCTAAAGAGGAATGATCAGATGTTATTTTTTAACAAGACAGCGCTCCTGCCCAAATTGCAAAGACAACCAAGATCAACCAATCAGGCTCAAGTTTTGGCCTGGTCAGAGCCTAGACTTGAATCGTATAGGGAATATTTGGTCGCTCAGAATTAAATTTAAACGAACCGGGAGACATTTTTCAACTACTCATGAACTATTTGAAGTCGTTAAAATTGGGTGGAACAACACTCTTGAACAACTTCCTGTAAAAAGCTGTCTGCAAGTTTACCCACACAGCTTACACATTTCAAGAAAATAAAGGGGAAGGCTATTCCAAGGTCATTTATCTACATTATCTGTGCAATTCTTGTTAATTTCCTGATCAGTGATTAAAATGGTTAAGACCATTAAAAGACCACTAAATATTTTGCCATGTATATATATATATTTATTTATTTTTTTGCCCAGGAGTGTATAAAACTGCAGCTCTGCAGCATTGCTAATGGATATGCGTAGATGTAAATGTAAACTGTACTGTATTTTAGGGTTTTATACCGCACCAGGTCAGTGCTTCAGCAGAGTGGTCTCTGGCATTCTCCTTCATCTGCTTTTTCTTCACGTACATGCATGATTTCCAGGTATGATCACCAGTTCACCAGTTTTTTTTAAGTCATCTTCTCATACAATTTAAACACATACACACACTGTATGTTAAATTCTGTATATTTTTGTCTCTATATTATCGTAAAGTTTGAACAAACCGTGTTTTTGACCAGAAAATCACTCTGAGGGTTCAGCCTGTACTTCAGAGTAACCATCTCTACGATTATCCTCACTATGAAGAGCGAGAGCATGTGCATCATGAAGAACGCTCTCCTCTACTGGCTGGTACCATTTGACAGACACTCTTCCGTCTTGCGTCTGACATCGAACACTGCAGCCGACATTCAGTGGACATTCACTTCACGAATCTGAATATTCCCAGATAAGCTTCTGTAATGTTACATTTTCTTGCCATGCTTTTATGTAATATTTTGAAAATATCAAGGGAGACTTTTTCCATGTATAAATATTTGACAAGTTTTATCAGCATAGTTACATCACAAATGTTAATAATGCGAAATAATCACTTTAAAGTAAATGTTTTTTCCTTTTAATTTTTAGAATAAACACATTGCAAATTTGGACATCTTTCAGTGCTTTTACAGTAATTTGTGATGATCTATGGAGATGAAATGTTCAATTTAATTTCATAGACTGAATCTGTGGTTTCCATTCAAAATGCATGTTTTTCAATTCAGCATGTTTCCACTGGCTCAGTTTCTGTAACATTAAACCTTCTAATCAAAACGTTTCTAGCTAAAACAAGCCTTACATACATAAATACAGCAGCTTATCACAAAATAATTACCCCCCCGAGACCCGACAAGACCCCAACACAAATGACAAACAGCAGTAAAGGTCTGACAAAACGTACACATGAGAACATAAATAAAACATAATCGGACATTTAATTCTATCTACATTCCTTAAAATTATTTTACTACAAACTGATGTATTTCACACAAGATTTACAAGCTGGTACTTTGGTGAGTGCTTCCACTAGTGTTTCTTGACTTTCTCTCTCATCTTTTTCTGGTATTCAGCAATCTTTTTGTCAAAAAATCCTGGAAGAAAAGGAAAAATAACTATTAAGTTAATAGTTTTATTATTAAATATTTTATTACTATTCAAGATCATTTTATATTTGAACCATCCTCTTCTCAAGCAAAATCCCCATTTTCACCTTATTGCCTCCACAGTCTCGCAGTTAGAGCTGCACGATTAATCATTAAAAGATCTCGATTCAAACACCCACATGATCTCATTCTTAAAATGACAACGATTCTGCTGTGTCTATTATTAAACATTTGACAAAATGACACCAGAACATTCAAATCTGTGTTTGCGCTGCCGCTGACCCAGAGAATGTATAGGTATGACCCGTGTTTTGGTATGAAACGGCTGCTTCTCAGTCTTTTCAACCACACAGTATCGTTATTTCTGTGACAAGTGACTGTTAAAAAAATGATCTGTCACTGGATCATTCATTCAACAGATTCGTTCAAAAAGGCTGATTCTTCCAGTATTGAAAAAAGTGACGTATTTACGGAGAGTCATTGAATCATTCATTCAACCCGTTTTAATTAATAATTCATTCAGATTAATTAAACATTTTAAATAGAATGCAGCAAAAATGTCAGGACCTCTAGTAAATGACATTATATTTTGTTTAGTTGTCTGTTCAGAATCGTGGGAGAATCATGATCTCTGTTTGAAATAGTGATGTTAGCAGAATCAGAATCCTGATCCAGAATCGTGCAGTGTGACAAATATTCCATGCGGCCTCGTAATGAATAGGTCATTAAAAGTATAATAATTACAAAAGAACTATCAATAACATGTCATGCATGTCAAACTACTAATTTACTGATCACTGCTAATAACAGTAAACCAAAGGGGTCTCACCTGTGCCGTCCTGAGAGACGGGCCTCTGTTCCATTTCCTGAACGAAGAGGTCAAACATCTGCGTCTGTACGAACTTCTTTACAAACCGCCGCGTGCCCTTGGATTCTATAGCTTTACAGAAATTTGTTCGCTGGAACTCGCCCTGCTTGTCTTTGCCATTCCGCACGATGTATTTAGCGAAGTGGCCCACAGTCTTGATAAAGAAAGGCAGGAAAGCTTCTGGGACCACTCGGTTCAACTCCTCAAGACCTGAAGTGATGAATGACACAAATACATGGAGCATTAGTTTATAAAATAATAATAATGTTAAATAATGTTTTGTTTTTCGCTTGTAACATTGTCTAATTTTTGTCATAACAAAATCACTTGTAAATATTGCAGGTTGTGGATTGCGTTTTTAGGCTTATTTGGGATAACTTAGGCTTGTTTGATGTGGTAAGTAACTTATTTTCAGCTTATTTGTTAGACTTGGGTGCTGGATTTCCTAGCGAGATCTGGCAACACTCTTTAGACCGTAATGTATTTGGTAAGATTTGATAATTCATGTCTATAGCACAAACGATGTGGGTCAATTTTACGCGCCACCATCCACGCTGATTTGTTTATTGTGTCTGTCACATGACAAGCGAACGAAGAAGACTTCCCTTCTATATAGTATGCAAAAAACAGTACGGCAACTGAGCATTATATCCTAATACAAAGGCTTTGTCCAAAATCGCAAACTCTCTTGAGTAGGTACTTATTTTGAATAAGTAATTACTTCACATCCGCTAAAAAAGTATGTTCTATATAGTATGATTGTGTGTAGTATGAATTAAATCTGGACATACTATAACCCGCCATGTTGTCATTATCATGTGACCTCCCAGCTTCAGTTGCGTCGCTTAACTGCCATTCATAAATCCTCTCCCGTGGCCTCATGGAATAGTTAAGTGTCCACTGTATGCACACTTCAGATCTCGCTGGAAGTAGTAGGTCATCCGGGTACTTTTTGCCTACTCTTTTATGAGTACTGTGAATTCGGACATACTGCTCTTGTCACATACTGTTTTTTGCCTACTATATAGTAGGGAAGTATGCGATTTCGGATGCAGCAATAGTATTCGAAAAACAGTAGGCGAAAAGTCATCGGATGACCTACTACTTCAAATTCAAATACCTACTCAGACAGTACGCAATTCCAGACGCACCGTTGGGGTTTGAACTAATCACACATGTCTTCATAATTTATCTTATAATGATTTCCTAACTTGAAATAAGATCAAAGATTGCGTATTTGGACATGTTCGGAGAAATTTTATATTGAAAATATAACATAAATGAACGGAATTACTTTATTTGGTTGAGTGAGATTCAAAAATCAAGTTAGTAAAATGATCCAGTCTTCCCATCGCATGTACGAGTGATTGAGCACTCGAACGGTCCACTAGATAGTGTGTATGCAGCAAACATTTTCATCCGAGCTCATGGTCAATGTCTTATTAGGGGTTCATCCAAATACTTAGCTGACAAAGTCGACATGATACGAACGTTGCGAGTCTTTTCTTCCCTATTGTGATGTACATCAGAGTGAAACAGCTTCTCGAACAAGAAAAAAAATGTAGGGTGGGACTTGATTTTTGTCCATTGGGAATTGATTGGATCATTAAATGGTTTGCTATTGCTTTGATGTCATGTGAGTGACAGGTTCACCCGTCCTTGCACCAGTAAGAGGGAGGGGAAGTTATTTTGATTAAAGATAATGAAGGCACATGAATGAATAATAACAATAATAAAGATGTGCACAGATAAATCATTTATAATAAATAATGCAACATTCTACAAAAATAAGAATTGTCGATTTTGACTTCATGGTGACATATAAACATTGAGAGAGAAAAAAAAGCTTCCCCAAGCAAACTCCACTAAATATAAAGTAGGATACAGAAAAGTTGCTTACTTGATTTCTCATTTTTGGCACTGAGGGCCTGCTTGATTTCCTCTTTGAGTTTGTGAGGTAATATTGTGTCCTCATCTCCCATCTGTTTGGAGAAACATTTCAAACACAGTCACCCACACTATATTCATCAGTCACTTTTCATGGCAACAAAATAAAAGATGTCCTCTAAGATGTACACATGAACTTACACACTTGATAAATGTCTCCTTCCTGCCTTCTGATAAGTCAACAACAAGCAGCTGGGTGAGTAGATGAATTCAGATGTCAGCTTGCAGGGTTTGAAATGTAAATCGCTTGTAATGTTGTACCAGTGTCAGGAGTCTGGTCACTCACCTCAGTCTGGTCAGTGACCTGATCTGCGAAGCGTTTCTGGACACCCAGCAGATATGGTGTGGGTGCCATGATGACGTCAATTAGGATCTCGGGAACGATGGAAATGAGCGTGTGCTGCCAGATGAATGGATGCAGGAGAACAGCAACTGCATGGATGACCTGAGACAATGTACTGCAGACACATGGTATGGGTTTGATCAATGTTATACATATAAATCAAAGCGATACCTGAACCTTGTGTGTGCATGTATGTTTGTTTTTGTACCCAAGCTCCTCGGCGATGAAGATGATCCTCCGCTCAAGTACAGCAGCAGCAAAGACCTTGAGCACCGCCTCATCTGACAGGCATCTGAACAATGCGCTGAAATCTACATGCTCCAGCCAGGAGTCTGTCGGACGAGTCAAACTGATGATCTATAGAGAGATATATTTATACTTCATTATAGGTAGATGTTTTATTATAAAGAGAGAATATAACTGCACTTACTTAAAAGTGTATTTTTCAAAAATAAACGTGAGTGTGCAGTTATATTCTTTCTTTATAAAGTATTAATGTTGCAAAGTGAATAATGTGTGTGCTTCAATACTTTGTTAAAGTTTTTGTTTTTTATTATAAAAACAGTGTTGAGGGATAAGTAAAAGTATTGATGCTACTAAATTAAGCATTTTTTGTGACATTGTATTTGTGACTTGAGGCAAAAAGAATTCGTCTTCAGCTATTTTGTTCTGATGGTTTACCCCAATGAACTGGTACAAAATGATCTACTGATTCATTCGAATCATTGCTAAACGATGTTTTTGTCACCGTTTTCAATACAGTAATATAAATTGGGTTAGTTTAGTTGTATATAGTGTAAACTGTTCACGTTTTATGTTTTAAGCCAAACTGTTTTTGTGCTGCGCTAAATACAAAATTTTAAATAAACCATAGTCTAGTAATGTGTGTCTGATGTGTTATTTAATTACTACCTTTACAAATTATGAGTACCCTGAATTTTTTCAAGTTAGTTTCTTGCCGATGGATGGATGGACGGAATGACAGAGAGATAGATAGATAGACAGAGCGACAGAGATAGAACGACAGAATAATATATCACAAATAAATGTGTTATACCAATGTTACATAGAAAATGTTACATAGGAATGTTACATAGAAAATGTGCTGGAGGAAAGATTCAAGCAGAACCAAGTCAAGTTTGTACAAGGCATGAGGGCATACCTGCATGAAACAGCTCATCTTTGACCCTTTCCCCTGAACTATTACCTCACTTACTTTAATTTCCTACAGCTTTGACAGAGCAGATGAGGTGTGTGTTTGTGGATAGCATGTCTCTGCCTGCTTCTCTGCTTGTTTGGAATTAGAGATGTATTACTTTACCCCTCTTTTAATGTACTGTAATTAACGCTCAATGGTTTATAATTACTGGGAAAAAACATGGAAAACCAACTTTTATTATCTCGCACGATTTTACACCCTCATTTAATTTCCACTTCCTTTTTGGTTGGAAATGATTGGCAAATACCAGTTTTTCAGTCTTTGCTGTTGACCCAACTGCTGTAAATACTGTGGAAATGGAAAGTGTAGCAGCTGCTGCTGGTTTGCCCAACTTCGCCTCGATATGTAATTTCTTGCAAATAAACATATTGGTTGTGTGAGTCATTGTTCAGTCAATGATTTCAGGACTAAAATTGTGGCAAAAAATGGTGTTTGTGTACAATAGAGTGCTGCAGTGATTACATAATTTTGTTGGCCAACGCTGAAGTTAACATCACCCTGGTTTCCTTGACAAAAAACCAATAGGATTTTTCCATTGGCTTTTGGGATACTGCAAGAAAATAAGGTCTGTCACTAACAAAAGCTTCTGATTTTTGCACATTTTATTCATTGTGATAATCTTCACAAATTAATTTTTAAAGCATAAATACAATCGGAAGAAGTCGAAAGTTAAACGTAGGCTATAAACTTACTAACTACACCACGGTCACATGACTTCATCACGGCCATCACTAAGCTTCCACCGACTCTTTCAGTCTTAAGCCCCTTTCACAAAGAGATTCCGGAAAATACACAGATAAAGTGACCCGGGATTTGACCCGGTTTCGTTTGATTTTGCTTCATTCACACTGCCAGTGATTTGCCGGAATCAGAGAGCGTGTTCACACACAACCCGTGTATGTTCCGGAAAGACGCGTGACGTTGGATGTGACGGGTCTCTACTTCAGTCCAGTTTGCAGACATTTTTTCGTTCATTCTTGTATCGATGACGAACACAAACTTTCTTCTAGAGTAACTGAGTCGCACGATAACTAACGTTACGTCATTGCAAAGGCTCGAGAATCCTCACTACGACACACCCCTTATACGGCATTGGTTCTGACTTTTGTTCACACAGCGCGCGTTCCGGGTCTGAACACGGCAATGTTACTAGGTCCCCAACCCGGCATCGATCCCGGCATCAATCCCGGGTCGTGTTTGCGTTCACACAGAAGGCACTCTGGCAATTTGCCGGGTTCAAAGCGCTGTGTGAAAGGGGCTTTAGTTTAAAAATGGGGGCGACAGTGGCTCAGTGGTTCATGTAGGTTGTCTACAAACCGGAAGTTTGGTGGTTCAATCCCCGGTTCCACCTGACCAAGTGTCGAAGTGTCCATGAGCAAGACACCTAACCCCAGCTGCTCCCGACGAGCTGGATGGCGCCTTGCATGGCTGACACCGCCGTCGGTGTATGAATGAGAGTATGAATGGGTGAATGTGAGGCAATATGTAAAGCGCTTTGGTGGCCATTGGGTCTGTGAAAGTGTCTATAAACTAACTACACCACGGTCACATGACTTGGCCATTGGGTCTATATAAATGCAGTCCATTTACTATTTACCGAAAACATTTTCCCTGAAAATGTTCGAGTTATAACAGTTTGCAAGAGCACGATTATAAACGCGTAACAACAAGGCTGTAAAAGTGAATGAGTTTTCCTGTTCGGCTGATGACGTTTAATGTCCCTGACAGCCTCTGTAGTCCCATTTAGACTCTTGTTAGCAACTGCCCTTTTCAAGACACATAAAAGCTTTAAAAAACATAAGGGGGTATTACTGATGTATTTTATATCGTAGAATAAACCATGAAAATATCTTGAGCTTGTGTTCACCACAGACCTTATTTCAAGCCTTTAACCAAAACCAAAAAATGTTTTTGTATTTTATTAGAATAAAAAAATAAAAGGGATGAATATACGCAAGGATCCCTCTCTATCCAGCTATTTTTCTATGCAAGAACATCCCATAAGAAACATGCAGCCTGAGTAGCCATTCAGACAAATTGTAGTTTTATCTCTAGTTCTTACCTCTGTGCCTCTTTCTGGAATAAAGCTTTTGATTTTAACAGTGTGTCCAGGGGCAGGAAAAGGCGCCTCCCTCAGGCTCTGCATAAATGGGTAAATCATCGCCATGGAGATCTTTCTGCGTTGCTCCACCTCATCAAAAATCTAAAAAAAAATAAGCAGACAGATTAAACAATGCAGGGAATGCAGGATTCAAGAAAAAGCCAAAAAATATCTTTTCACTGAGAGAAATCAGTTTTCATAGAATTTTTTTTTTTTTTTTAAATACATTAAACTAATTAAAAGTGACAGTAAAGACGTTTAGAATGTTACTAAATATTTCTATTTCTCAAAAACATTACGCAGCGCAACGGTTTTTAACTGATAATAATAAGAAAAAATATATTTTTACATTTATTGAGCACAAAAATCATCATGAATGATTTCTGAAGGATCATGTGACACTGAAGACTGGAGTAATGATGCTGAAAATTCAGCTTTGCCATCACAGGGATTAATTACATTTTAAAAATATATTGACATAGAAAACCATTCAATTGTAATAATATTTCACAATATATTTTGATAAAATATATAAATAACACCATATATTTCTGAAGTATAAGCAACAACTACTTTACAAACACCCAAATTTGGAATGTCCATTTCTTTAAGATCATATTAGCTTGTCTTTGATGTTTGTCCTGAACAAACACTCATTTCCAGTCATGAGAGAGCATTCACCCCGAAAAAAAAGTACCTGCACAAAGTTCAACTTAAACAAACAAAACATTCTCCATCAACTGAAGCGTTAAGCTCAATGGACAGCTCAACACGTTAGACAACCCATTTTCAGACTCTGAATTAGTACGTAGTCAGAACAAATGGCTAATTTCTAAAATACAGATCAAAACAATGAAGTACAAAGACATTTACATTGACTGTGCATTAAATTATACTGTTTTACCTTGGAAAAGAGTCCAAAGCAGGCTAAATTACTGATGATACAGTAGGCCTCAGGCAGGCGAGCACCCTTCCCACAAGGCTAAACAAGAAAACACCAACAACAAGAGAAGTGAGCACACACTTAAATTGCATATGCATATATTTCTTGACCTTATTTCTACGTCTTCTCATGCATTACAAAACAAGAAAAATGGTGCTTTCCCTGTTGCTATGTTGCTAGAGTGATGTGGGTGGTTGTTAGCGGTTGTTATGCAGGTTTAGCACTTACAGGGTTACACAGGATGAACAGGGTTAGGGATTTGTTCAAATCATTAACCGTAAGTATGAGCAAGAATAAGAGAAATTATTATAAATAAGACCAGTCAACATTTACCAGCAGCCTCCTACAGTATCCATTCTTCCTCGACCCATCAACATCTGTAAGCACGAAAGAGAATGTTTCACTGTGAAATAGAGAAAAAGAGAGAAAATGAAAGATGCAGTTTCTGCTTCCACAGGGCATGCTGGGAGAAATAATGTGTGTGGTCACAGTACCTGGGATATTCTGTTAGGGGTGCCCAGTTAACACCCTCTGGAAAGCAAAAGAGTGTGAGCGCCTTTAACGTCTTCTCCTCCTCCTCCCTCTGAAATCGCACCATTCCATCTTTCTGTGCTCATTACAAAGTGAAAAACACTAAATTAATATGCATCAGGGACAGAAAATGCAAGGATTTCCCACGTCTTCATGATCATCTCTTTATCATTAATTCATATAGATCTAATTCATATCAGAATGACAATGAATGAGCTATTTAAACATATTATTTTCACAGATTTCTGCCCTGAAGTTGTCATTTAATCAAAAAAAAAAAAGAGTATTTATTGTAATGTCTAATGGCAGTGTCTTCACTATAATAGTTTTTTTTTTTTAAGAGCTAGCCCTATATTAAATAATGAAGTGTGTGTGTGTATATATATATATAAATATATATAATAAAAATAGATATTAAAAATCCTATAATACAATTTTACCTGCTTATATTGTGCTGGGTTTTACACTATAATTTTTCACTATATATTTTTTACCTTCATAAGAACTAGACCCATATTAAATAATAGTGCTTGTGGTGTGTACCGCTCCGTTGTTTTGACGCACTGCTCATTTTAACCTGTAGAATCTGTAAAATGCCGCAATTGTGTCCCGTGGACCGGATGGAACCAAGCCAGGGTCCGGAATAAAATCAATGGAAAAGCAGCGCGGTGGAAAGCAAAAACACATGTGAACGGCCCCTAATAACCCAGCTAACACGTACCGTATATGTTCTAAGAATAGTTTGCTAACATTCCCAATAGGTTATGAAATGTTATTTCTGAAAACATTTAAAATGTCCCGTTAATGTTTTTCTGGTTATGCGAACGATAAAGGAATATTAAATTTTTATAATTTTAAACATGTTTGAACATTCAGAAACATTTAAAAAACATTAGACAACAGTCCAACCGAAACGATGTATAAATAATTTTCTGTGCTAACATTTTGAGAACATTATTAATGACCACATAACTTTGAAGGAACGTTCTATTAATGTTACTGGAAAAATGTTTGATCATAACTTTGCGAAAACCTTGCCAGAACCAAAGTTAACCAAAGTTCTGGGAACATTCCCTGTTAGCTGGGAATGTGGATCGTGATCCGTTGTAACATTCCTCATTTGTATGTCACTTTTGATTTAAATATTTAATAAAACAATAAATGTAATGCAAACATAAAAATTGTATCGAATTGTTATTGAATGGAAATAGTTGCTACTACAATGCTGTGAAAGTACTGAAGAGTAAGAAAGCTCTGAAATGCACTGATAACTAATCACGATTGCTTATTCACATTCTTAGCCAGAGGGGTTAGTTCTCACAGCTGAAGTGTAAATTCTTCTTTCAGGCATTATATACATGTGTCTGCATGCAGAGCACTCGGTTTGTCTGTGTCACCTTAGGGAACTGATAGATGATCTGTGGCTCATATATCCCATCTGTAGTCTTCTTAGGCCGAACAACCACCAGATATTCAAAGAAGAATTGCCCGCTAGCGTAGCGCTGCTCCTTTGCCTTTTCTTCCACGGGAGAGAGCCCTGTGCTAGCAGGTAGATCTGGTTCCTTACTAGTTCCTGGAAAAACAAACGTACGTTAGCTTCGGTGATGTATTTACTGAGGCTGTTTTCATGTCATTGCAGAGAAAACACTACAAAAACCAACTGTTTATAAGCGTACGATTTCTGAATGATCTAAAAAATGCGGCTCTTCAGAAACAGCACTTGAAACGCCGAACCAAACAAATTAAGAGATGAGAAAGAAGGAGCTCTTCTGTGAATTTCCTCAACATTTCCTTTTGAGCCTGCTTTTTGGCAGCCTCCCCCAACAGAGAGCAAACAAAGCTGACAGGAATACCTTAGAAGTCCACTAAGTCAGAAAGTCTTGTTCCAGCTTGACTTGCCTCACCATAGAAACCCCCAATGTGCCTTTCTATACACAACAGAACAATAACTGCAGCTCGTAACTGAAAAGACAAGAAGTGCACTAAGGAACAGATGTAAATTGTGTGCACTGACTGACTTTGTGAACTTCCTCGTGACTTCATAAATTAATTTCAAATGAACAACACATTGCAAGCAAATCAAGTCAAAACCAGTTCGAAAGACTTTCTTTTAGGCATTTTGCCCTACTTACACTACGAGACCGGAGAATGAGTCATGGTGAAATGTTTTGACAAGGTTAACTACTTTTATATGCAATATAAAGCCAATGACCACAGCTAAAGATAACAACGTTTGTTGTGCATTCATTAAAACTGCTTTTTGGCACTTAAAACATACATAGAGTAAGATACAACTAAATTTATAAAAATAGAAGGAGCTAAAGTAGCAAGATATGTGTTTGTAAAGATTATAAAGCAATACTTAAATAACATTTCCTCACTGTCTTTGTTGACTTTCCCACGGAAAGACGTAAATAGGGTACTAAACCTCTTCATGGCTCCCATGTCTTGTTGATCTTCACCTGGATGAAAGACACCTGAGAAACGACAGTTCAAAACACAACAATTAATCAATTTCAAACACACAATTATTCGGGAAAGCTCAGATATGTTCCCAGAAATGCACTGATAACTAACAAATAATTTGCTTATTCACTTTTTTAGCCAAATATGTTAGTTTTCACAGCTGCAGTGTAAATTGTAATTTCAACAAATGTAATTTATTCTTTCCCACATTACTCTTTTTAGAAGTTCTTCACCAGATATCACCAAAAAAACACAGTCTTGCTAAACTTGCTTTGTTGTCATCTAAGAAGCTTTCCACATTAACAGTAAAACATCAATATACCTGATTCAATACTGTGACAGCAACTATTCAACTAGTCAATAGCACCCGATAAACCTAACTGACAAAACTATCACGTTTTGCTTCTAACACAACATTGTACAGCCATAGATAAGTTAGATAGATTACAGCAAGAGAAAACAATAGGATAAAATAGGCTATAGAAAAAGGTGGCAAACTTCTATCGGTCCATTATGTGGATTAAAAGAACATAATTTAAACAAATTCTTACAATTTTCATTATACAGAATCACTAAAGCATATTGTGATTGAACTTACTCCGGTGTTTACGCAAGTTTGCCTTCGTTCCTCTTCTTTTGACATTAATTTCGTTCATTTTCGAATCTCTTTGCGTAAATATTTATGTCGTGGTCTCACGGCAGTCTTTCCCACGGACGGTGCAAGCACACGGTAACGTTAGCTACTACTGAGTGAGTGAGCGGCACGCAGCCTGCATGTATGCTTGCTGTTGATTCCTGAATTGCGAATCAATTGTTCCGTTTTAAAACGGATGTTCATTCGAACCTATTCGCAAGCGTTCGTGAATCAATCTACTGTTAGAGAGATGTACAAACAAGCCTAATTTTACGTAATCGAAAACATAGTGATAAGTAGCTTAATTTAAACAAATACCAGGGGAAAAAAAGAATTCCAGACGGGGATGTATGTGTAAAAGCTACAGAACACTCAAACTAAAGAGTGAATCATTTTAACTGATTCATTGAACTGAACTGTTTGAACGAACCGATTCAGTGAACTGAAGTCAAGGGCAGATCGGAATCACTGACGATTCAATCAAGAGTTCGAACTTTAGTGGGAGTTGCTTCTTTTCTCTGCTCAATAGGTTCATTATACAGTTCTTTAAAGTGTGCAGTGTTTCTTCTCAGACGTTGCTTATGAAACATATGGCTATGTGGCTTAAACATGGCCGACTATAGCCTACATTCAACATTATTTTATTATTTTCTTTGTCCTTATGAAATATCAATATATTTTATGTGGAGGATTATTTTAACATTTAACTGCAGGTACTTTTGGGCGACATTGGTGTGACATAATGACACAGCGGTCATCATTCAAAAGACATTTGCTGCCTTCTTTCCCATGTGTATCTTGTAAAACAGATTTTCCTTTCAGTGAGTCTTTGGTTAAATAAAGGTTGCTAACTAAGTTAATGCTACTTGGTTGTCTTATCTGATGGCTTCATTTAGATTGATACTTTGGTATAGTAATCCACAAGAACATTCTTAAGGCATGTTTTTCCATCCCCTCATTAGGAGTTATAGACTAATTTTATGTACTAGGCTATATTGACCACAAGTGCTTATTAGGAGCCTTAATGAACATCTGAAAAGAGATTTATTGCAACATATCAAAAGTAGACATCCCTTTTTACCCCAAGCTGACAAGATGAAACAAATGCATTGGCATGAAAGTCAAACTTCAAAAGGTGAAAGTTTTACCTTTGTTGGTCTCAAGTCCTCCATCTGAGAAGCTTCGTCTCTTATCTATTTCGACACCAGCTTCTTCTTCAGACCTTTCTGTAGGCCAAGACAGACCGCTGAACTTTGTGCTAGTGTCTAAAAGTGTGTTAATTCATCTGTACGCTTCTCGTTTAGCCTTGCAGTCTATTTACAAAGGCAAAGAACATTTGGCTAGGTAAAGAAAGGTGTGTAAACTGAGCGACTCACGTTCACGTCGATCGGCTCTGAAAGAAGAAAATAATCTTCTCCTGAAAGGATTTTCCCCTTCATCCAGTCTAGCTATAGCAGTCAAAGGAACAAATGAAAAGATCAGGAATCTTTTCTTGACCTTGTAATGCGAGAATATTTGGAGCACCTTATACTGCTCATATCATACATGTTAATAAAAAAAAATGAAGAATATTATGATTTATTAAAATAAAAATAAACTCTACTTACTCTTAGAACGCACAGAGGAGAACATCCAGCTCCTGGATGATGTCATTGTGTCACCTAAAAAAAAAAAACATGTACACACTTAATCATCAAGTTCCTTCTCATTACCACAGTGCAATAGCTATCTATTATCTCAGTTAATATAAAGCAAGAAAATTTGTTGCAATTTGGCTAAAAATATTTCATAGAGAACCGTGCCTTATGTTAATGTCGTTGTTCCTTAAATGTGAGAAACTTCCATTGTATTTTCCCAAGGACTAAGGTCATAGTCCTTTGGGTCCTTCAGTAAATATTAACTTGGCAACTCTTTAAAACACACCCTAATGCAGGTGTGCAGAGATCACAGACATGCTTAACCTCATACCTGCTCCATCGCGACGACAAAAGATACGCCATATTCCTATTTTATGAAAAGCTCACCACAAATACATCATGAACATGCACCAGTTGTAGAGGAGAAAGCTTAACAAAATTAAATGACATGAAAGTTGTAACTGCTTTTGCTTACACTGCAACACTTTCACACTTCGAGACCACGTTACCACAGGAAGTATCAGACTTGTGGTGTGCAGTGGCTTTATAGGACTTTCTACATGCATGCTATGAAGCCACTTGCACTGGTAAAACAATCTATCTGCATAAGAATAGTTTTATATAAATGGTTTGTACACCAATGTAATGTAACAGAAAAAATCAGTAAAAACCTATATTGGGGGAAATACATCAGTAAAAAACTGTTCAATTGTTAATTGTCAGTGAAAATAATTGTACATTTATTCAGGCAATAAATGTAAGTTTACATTTAAAATAATTACTTTTTACTTATGCATTCAATCAGAGGTGAACAGTAACAACGTACATTTAGTACTGTACTTACATACACTTTTTGAGATCTGTAGCCGACCGAGTATTATTTTTTCTGGAAACTTTTTACTTTAACTTTACTACATTTGAAAGACAAATATCGTACTTTTTTACTCCACTACAATTCTGTCAAGGTCTTTGAGTAGAAAGTAGTAACGTCAGTCAGGGGATGGTTTTGGCTGCAGGGGTTGCATTTTGGAAAATAAAGTCGGGTTGACATCAGAACCCGACTGATGTTGGTTTCTGACCTCAACCTGATTTTGATTTTCTATTTCAAACTAATGCTGTTTATTTGAACTTTCATTAAAGAATCCTGAATAAAGAAAATATTTCACATTTCAGCATATTAGACTGATTTCTGAAGGATCATGTGACACTGAATACTGGAGAAATGATGACAGGAATAAATTACATTTTAAAATATATTAAAGCAAAATAATATTTCACAATATTACCGTTTTTACTGTATTTTTGTTCAAATAAATCTAAACTTTTGAACAGTGGTGTATAATTTATCATTATCATCAATATTGTTAATAAATATAGTTACAAAACTGCCTGAAACATTGTCACTGCAATAATATTGTTAATTTAATTGACTAATTCATAAATAGTTCATTTGCTTTGTATAAAGTTCTGTCGTTTTAAAGCTCGTGTTTATTCCCAGAAAGAATCCCCATCCTCTCCCATACATTTATTGCCATGTTTTCGTGTAAGACGTGGCCGTTAGTATACTCCGGGTCTGTTTATAGCTTACTGTATTCCCCACAGGATGACCTCAGGTCAGCAGTAGGTCTTCCTGTTGCCCCAATGACTCCGTCTCAGCAGTTATGTGGGAATATTTTGAGGATGCACTTCAGGACTTTTCTATGTGGTGGTTGTTCAAACCTAGTGTAGATTTGGACTTTAGATTTATCTTATTTCAGATTCAGACATCACTGTTGTTGGGTGCCATAATTTCAGTGTAGTTCAGAAATGTTCCTCTATGCACCTTTTTGTCCAAGATCCCCTTTTATAATAGAACTTTGTCAAATCTCTTTTGACCTAATAATGATGCTTGGACAAATGAAGGTGTCAGAGAATCCTGGTTTTCTGTCCTTTATGGCTCAGAACTGAATATACAGGGGTTGTGCTGATTGCTGAGAAAGGGATCATATCATCTTCCTTGATTCCTTCTTCAAACATCAATCAATCATCCACTCATTCTCCCTCTCTCATTATTCAAAACGAAAGGCCATTCATCATGTAAAGAATGTGGTGGGACAGTAGATGACATCTGAACTTTTCACACTACACAGCTGTTTTTATCCTACAGCTCTGCCCCAGCTAACAGGGAACGTTCTCAGAACTTTGGCAAGGATCTCTTAAAAATTATGAACAAACATTCTTCCAGTAACGTTAATAGAATGTTTGTTAAAAGTTATCTGGACTTTAATAACTTTCTCAAAACGTTAGCACAAAAACGCTACTCATATGTTCATGGAACGTATTTCTGAAACATTTTAGTTGGACGTTCGTCTAACGTTTTTTAAATGTTACTTGTTACAAATGGTTTCAGAGAACATTCAGAAATAACGTTTTCATAAATGAATAGCAAAACATTCTTAGAAGATATTTTTGTTAGCTGGTCAACATTGATCAAAAAACACTTCTATACCTTTTGTCCAGTTGTTTGTCTCTTTATCAACATAAAAATTAACTAATGATAAGATCTGACCTCAGATCAGGCTGACCCAACATTCAAATCATCTTATGAAAGGTAATGTTTACTCAAGAATACGGTAGCTCTGAGGAATGCAATTCTCGTTTAAAGAAGACTTAGCAAACAAATGTTCCCGCATGTCTCATACACCTAAAACACACTCTGACCCTAAAAAGACACTTAGGCCTACTGGAATAACATGTTCATTTAGAAGTACCTTGCAGGCGGCAATGCTTTTCAGGATTAGTTTGAACTTTTAGAAGTTAAAAGGATTGTTCATCCAAGGTAATTATTGCTAAAGTATTCGTGTGAGATTGGAAGTAAAACAGGGCACACGCATTATAGACTGCTTTTATGGTCATGTTTTGGACAGTTGGATTTGTTATCACTTGTATTTTATGACAGCCGGCTGGTCAATAGAGGGCGCCGCCCTAACTGAGCCACAGACTGTAAAAAAACAACAACATTTTTACACACGCAAAATCATAATAAATAATAATTATTATTATAAATTATAGGCTATAGGCTACATTGATATTTGTATCATCTTATATGATTCATTTATGAAATTCATCTGTGCAAAATATGATTTTCCATCTGTCTGCATTCCTCAAGTTCAACCAGTCTTTGATAGAGAAATCGGTGTAGTAGTTTAGCCAATGCTGTGAACATGTTCACGATATGACATAAAATTTAACCAATCAGCGTCCTTAAATCTAACGAGCCACTGCTCGGCTCTCACCCCGGATTTCCACCAACTGCAGAACGGCTGCGGATTGGCTCCGCTGCGTGTCGGATCCGTGCTCCGCCGTCCTTCATACCTACCAGATACGGATTTGTTGCGGAACGGCTGCGGCCATGACTGACAGCTGAAGTCACGAGGACACACGATATCTCGCGAATTTACGTTTGATCGCGCGATATAACAGGATTTAGTTTCTATAAACAGAACTACAAAACCAGCAACAGTTTGTTTCCATCCAGAGGAGTACAGGGGAAACAACTATGTGCTGACCTGCTGATCTCCCTTTTTTGTGGAGATTATTGTGATTCTAATACTATATTTATAATTAAATATAATCAACTTATAAAATGCTAAATGTTTATTTGGGTTCCTTTTTGAATGTATTGGGAAAGTAGTAGGCTGTGTAAATAAAGTTAACTATTGTTCCCTTATCGAGTCGGTCTCTCGACATTACGTATGGGGAAATCCATTTTCCTCGAATCATGAAGTCTGATAGAATAGGCTTGTTTGAGATGAGCAAAATCTGCGCAGAACCGATCACCGGTGATCAGCGCGAGATGCATGCCGGTTAGAAATGTGTCCGAGTGCGGTCCGCCTTGCTCTGATGTCATGCTGACGTGTGTCAAAAAACTCTCGCGACCGCAAGGCGCACGTGTCGGATTCTGCAGTCGCGCGCAGTTGCTCTCCACCGACTGCGCTGATCAAAAGCATGATGGGAAACGACTTGCTGACGGCACAGCTTAATGCTCATTGGTTTAAACAACCGTGATGTATTGTTCTCTTTTAAAATGTTTGATTTTAAAACTCTGATATCATGTTTTATGTATGTGGATATCCCCAAACTCTCTGACAGTGCGATCTATGTGATGTAATTTAAAAAAAAATAAAAACACATATCTGTAAAGAAAAAAAATGATTCATAAACATATAGGCCTATTTAAAATGGAATTAAATAAGTACTTTGGGTGTCTTGTTCATTATATTTATTTCCATATTCAAGCAACAAAACTTAAAATACATCCAGTTTATTAGCAACACCGTGCACGAGTGTGAATCCCGCGATATCCATCTTTGATCTCACAGGTGTCAGATCCACTGCGAGAAGAGCGATCTGTCCGGCTTGCCTGCGCTTTTTTCACTCATCCTCTCACTGCAGCCGCCTACTCTCGACTACATTTCAGGCGAGGCAAGGCGCATCTCAAACAAGCCTAATAACTCTTTTGCTTGCAAATAGCCAATGGCGGTCCCGCCATCACCTGATTGGCTGACACTGCTCAATATAGGTGACGGCGGGCGCCAAAAACCTCAGAATCTTTTTTCTTCACTCGAGTCTGTTTTCACCGTTGATGTACGCATTCAGAGCGGAGTATATTAAGGAGTTTTAATTCCCCTCTCGCGTTCCGGTGGATTATATTATGTCTCTTTGTCGCCCGTGTGGTGGACCCATCGGATCCCCGGACGCACACAACTTGTGTGCTGTGCCTGGGTCGGGACCACGCAGAGGCGGCACTCGAGGGATCGGGATGTCCCGCCTGTGAGGAGCTTCCCATCAGATCCTTCGTGCAAGGCTGGCCGTTACACGTAGCGACGACCTTGTGTCTCCTGCCTCTCCCCAGTCTGCCGCCTTCGAGCCGCGGACCGGGAGACGGCAGAGATCTCCATTCGCGGGTTCTGTTGAGGCGCTGACGTCGGCCCAAGGTCCACGCCATCCTCACGTGGCAGAGCCCGTGAGTTACTCTTGAGGCC